TCGGGGAGACAGCGATGGGGGCTGGGCTGGGTTGGGGTGACGGCTGTGGTAGGGTAGGGTTGACGGCCGTGGGAACCGGCGCCGGTGGTGGGTGGTGGCTGGGTTAGGATTATAGGGTATTTCTTTTTTTTTTGATCCAATAGTTGATTGACACGTGTACTGTGTGGGGCCCACTTAACGGTTTTTTTGGACCACAAAGTTAAGTGGTGGTAAAACCAATTTTTTGGTTTTTTTTTTGTGGTGTTATAATAATTATTTTTTTTTTTTTTTTTTTTTTTTTTTTTTTTTTTTTTGTGGTGTTGTAATCAAAATCGTGACAATTTTGGGGTGTTATTTTCTAATTTATCCAAAAAATTATTTAGTTTAAGAATGTAATAAACTTTGTAACTCTCATTTTAAAATTTGAAAATCAAATAACTCTTTACTGTTCGTTTTTCACAAGTAAATTTCTGATGTATTTCTAATTGTCTTATCTCATGTAAGGAGGTAGTTTATAGCTTCAAAGGAAGTGTCAATTATTTACTTGCTTTTGACATGACTTTTGTTGCTTCTTTCTTTAATTCATGTTTATAAGGTACTTGTTAGCATAATTATTAGGGATTGGTTGCTTGTAACTTTGTTTTAGAATAAATGAAAGTAAGTAATTTTTGTTAATTGATGTCTTGATGATGATATTCAATGTGTAATATTTTTCTTTGATAGCCATTTCCGTCCATTTGGAGCAACAATGCTGTTTATTGTATCTTCTTATCGTTTGTGTGTCTGTAGATAAAAGATACATGAACTGGAACCTTAAGGTTGAAAGCGTACATGGAAACAGAGCTCCACTGCCATTTGTTAAAAGTGTTGAGGTAACTGTTCTGAAATCTCATTTATCAAAGTTCCTTCTGTAATTGATCTAAAATCTTACATTAAGTCAACTGTTGGAGCTGTTCAATAAGCTAAGATGCATATATATTTTTTTTCCGTTCCTTTTCTGTTTAAAGCTATGGCGAATGACATTAAATTAATAGTGGTAGATTACTGTCAATTGTTTTGCTGTTGCTTGAACTGTTGCAAGTGAGTTGGATATTAATCTAGTGGTCTAACCAAGATATAAGTTTTGTTCCTAATGTAGGTTCTGTCCAGTACTTCTCTTGTGGAAGATTTACCCAAAATGTAGTCCATGGAAAAGATCAAAAGAAGTGGTGTTAAATTACAAAAGCTAGATTACTAAAGTTGTGCAATGTAGAAAAGCATAAGAAGTGGTGTTAAATTACAAAAGCTAGATTACTAACGTTGTGCAATGTAGAAAAGCATAAGAAGTGGTGTTAAACTACAAAGTTTGCACACAAAATAGATTTGTAAAGTTGAAATAGTAGGCTGATGTTTAAAACAGCTCTAGGACTACCGCAAAGAGTGATTTGATGATCTCAGGAGAATGATATAGATCTATAAAGTTTGAGTGATTATGGAGAGAGGGGGGGGGGTAACAACGGTGTTACGCACAAACTTTTAGCATGATTGAAATTTTGATGGTTAGTTGTTAGGCAATATTACTAATGGAGTACGAGTATACACTACGTTTAATTTTGTCCTGAAATGTACTAAATTTTAAGCTGCCATGCGAATGTCCGTGGTAATGGAACTTCATCCTCAAAACAAGTGTTTTCCTTCATCAATTTCCAATATTTGGAGATGGACATTGGACTAGCATTACAGACATTGGCCTGACATTTTCATTACAATTTTTTTTTCTGCCTAACCATACTGGAGTTGTATTTCTGGTTTTCTTTGTTGGGAAGTTGATAATGGGATCAGTTATCCTCTGTTATGCGCTGCCTTTGATGACATTCTTAGCACAACATCAGGCCTCTCTAATTTTACTGCTGGACTAACAGGTTTGGCTTTTGCATCGTAGGTCTCCTTTGTTGACAGACAAGATCTGAAAGCTGCTGTGTTAGACAAGCAGCCATTTGTGCTGAAAAGGTATGCCGTATGAGTATATTTGTCAATGTATTTCTCTCTGATAATGTTACAGTACTAAGCAAATTTTTATACATATTTTATTATTATGTTGTGGTGTTTAGTGATTGCCAAGTTGCCATAAAAAATTTCCACGACTTAATTATAATTATCTTCGTATCTCAGTGTTTTAAATAAGTCTGTGGCTGGATGGTTTGAGTAAAGCTGGCTGTTTATCAAGTGATTACATCTAATCTTAATTGTTGTTTTGTTTGGTATGCTGCCTTATATCCTCAAAAACAGGAGGTTTGTGAGAATTGTGGAACCATTTGAACTGGTATTGAAAATCAACTTCATTGATGCCTGCCGTTGTCGCTATGCACAGATTAAAATTCCCGTCAATTTCAAAGTAAGTCTTGAGTTTTTACTGTCAATTTGTGTTATGACCCTATTGGTCCACTCGAATCCAAACTGAAATGATTGAATGTGCCCTGATCTAAACGACTCTTTTGCCACTCTACTCACTAGAAGTGATCAATGTGCTGCAGAGAGTTATTTTTATGCGGTTTATCTACTTATTTTTCTTAATCTTTTGATGTATGAAATGGGGTATATTCAGGTTTCAAGGAAATGTCCCCAATATGACAAGGAAGCAATATATCAAAATTTAAGAGAGGCAGCTGTGCAAGATTCTCGCTGTGGGCAGTATGAGGTTATTCAAAGAAAGGCAAACTTATCCCCAAAATACGACATTACAGTGTATGCTATTGTGACCAACATTGCAACCTATGATAAAGCTGTGGCCAAAGCATCATCTGAAGGAGTCGTGTGTAATGGAGATGCGAAAATAAAGAGCGAAAGCTTGATGTGTAACAGCTCAGAAACTGATAACAAACCACTGAGATTTCTCAAAAGGAAACACAGGCTTACTCACAGTCCCAAAACTGCTAACAAGCAACTGAGACTTCTTCAACCGAAAAGTAGGCTTTAAACTTCTGTTATCCCAGAATTTCTGTAAATAAGATACCTTTCTTTCCCTACTATCTTAGCGCCGTAAAAAGCATAGATTAATTTAATGGCAGTAATAAAAGATAAGTTATTATGGTGGGTATTATACAAAATTAGCGTTGCATATAGGAGGCTGAGTGAATTTTGTTAGATGTAACTCTCAGTCTTGCCGGTTTTCGGATGTGTAAATTGGTGGTAATCGGTGTAAACTCTATCTCATGTGCAGGCATTGCTCTGACAGTTTAAGATTATCTTCACTACTCACAACTATCATGAGTTTGTTTCCTGGTTTTTAGACACAGTCTAAGCTTTAACATAAACTTCCACTACACAACATTCTTAGTCTCATTGGCCCTTTGATGTGGGACCCGTATTCTAGTACATAAAATTTTCATTTTATACTTTGTTTCGAAATTTTTCAAGTAGTTTGTATGATGACTATCAATTTTTTTAAAGTGTTACAGTTTACGCTATGTATAAACTTTAGCATAAAAGGTATTCATAATGTAACATTTGCATGAAAATTTTGAACTATTTGGTCTTGGAAAATATGCACTAAGGATCTTACTAATTACGGTTAGTTTTTCTCGCAGATTTAATCAAACTTTGTAGAAACATGTTGAGAACTTTTGCAAATCTACCTAGACAAAAGGGATAGTTTGAACTATTTGCTAATTTAAGAATTAATATCTTAGGTGTAACATTGAATTTCAGTAATAGACATTAGAAATGGATCATTGCATAGATTTAATTGAAGACAATAGCTCAAATGAGTAGATAATTGGAATGAAATGAATATGATAATTGTATTGAACACTTAGCACCAACAATCCAAACATTCATAATATTAGAAAGAAACATTAGACTTTCAATTTGTCAAAACACAAGCACATAAACGAATTGATTCAAGAGTTATATTATTTTCAACATATTTTGAAAGAAAAATTAAATGCCTAATCTATAAATATAGAGTAATCGATGTTCATTTTCCTCATGTGGAAGAATATAGCGTGTTATAGCTGTATTTTCTCACGTGGGCCTCATTTTTTACCGTTGCACACTAAGCGATACTGAATTACTAATCACTAACGATACTATTCTATTTTCTTTCTTTCGTTTTACTTTCTAGTTTTTATAGACTCTCTTGCAAGTCAAATTAAAATGTGTAACTTTAAAGATTTCAAGTGATATTGATTAACTAATAACGAATACATAATTGCTATAATATCTTTTACCTAATTCGTAACTAAAATATGAATGAGTAACAAATATGAATTTTAGGATTAAATAACGAGAGTTCTCATTACTTTATTCTGCAAACGGAAATAAATCAACATATTAGAAGGATAAAAACCTAGACCATAGCCTAGAAGGAAAGAATTGAGCTGGAAAATAGAGCCTAGATAACGCTAAATTTCTTAATGTGAGATTCACTATTTACCACCACTCATCGACTTGTACAAATCATAAAAATAACATTTTTATTCTCTCTTTCTGATAGGTTGTCGTGCACCTGTCAAAAATAAATTCCTAAAACCAACTAAGAATGTAGTAGGGTAAGTAGGGTCGAATTCACAAGGAGATGGTATTCAATCTAGCTTTCAAGGTATGGAAAAACTAAATTATGTCACGAAATTTGGATAAAAATAAAGTCTAAATCAAAATAAGAATAAAACAACTAATAAAGACCTAGGGTTATGGTTTACCATGTTTATAGTTCTAAATCTATCAAATATCAATAACAATTCAATCAATCAATTATCTAGAGCAATTGCTAAGCCTACGGTCGGGTCTTAACGCTCTCAATTCAACATATGTAGTTCGGTTGCTAACATACTTAGAATTGCTAATTGTAGGTAAGCCTCTAAAAGTAAGATATTTCGATTCAAACTCTTATTAACAATAATTAATCAAACAATTGATCAGGTTGCAAGATTAACAATAAAACACTATCAATTAGATAAATCAATAATCAAAATATTAATAACATCAATCAAGATTCATTATATAAACATGGCTTCCCAAACTCTAGAAAAAAAACTACTCAAACATGAAGTAAATAATAAAAACTAGATTTAAGGAATAAAAACATAATTAAAAGCAAGAAATAGAAATAAAATACCTCAATGAATTGAAATAATAAACCCAAGAATCATCCGTGGAAGAATCCATGGAGATGCCATGAGAAACTAGGGTTGGAGAGAAAACCAATGAACGTAAAATAATAAAAGGTAAAAAACGGCATGAGGGAAAATAATATCACTTAAGTATCTATATTATCCTAAACCTAAAACAAATATAAAAACAAAAATTAATAAAAAGAGTTTAATAATTGGTCGAATTTAAGAGTCATAGTTGATGTAGGATTTCTTATAGTTTGTGCGCACGCCCCACCCATCGTGCGATGGGTGGGCGATGGTCAGACGAGCTGCACCAGGAGTTCGGCCAGCGGGAGCTGGTTTTCCATCGCCCCAACAAGCAGCTCATGCTCGAGCGTACAGCACGTCCATCGCCTGATGGCTGGGGCGATAGGTTGGCAGCTTCGCAAGGTCAACTTCGGAGAGCCATATCTCGAGATCTAGATATTGTATAGGGACATGTAACCTATTAATAGAAAGCTCTTCAAGTCTAGTTTCCAACGCAATTTGAATCACTTCTATTCAATCAGTAGAAATCAAGTTATGATCAAAAGAGTGACCAAAGGCCTATTTTGACACTTCGTTCATCATCGTTTAACTTCGTTTTAAACTCAAATTCAATCCCGAAAATTGCATAACGATCCTTGTGGATTCTATTCTGTAACACCCCTACTTCTTGTATCTTAATTGGCGTTACTGGACCATACTTAACTTGTCATTCGCAGCGGAATTAATCATGCATAATCATAATCTCATAAATACCTGTGGGATATGGGCCCACAAATAAAAAATACTCCTTAATCAGTGACATTCCTTTTAAGTAATACAACTCCAGTCTATCTTACTGTAATAAAAATAATCTATCTCTCGATAAAACATAATCCATAATACATAAACTCTTGGCTCTGGTTCTGTGATTATTCAATAATATAAATTCTTTTAATCACTTTGCCCTTGACTAACTTGAACTCCGTCATCATCATACATCATACTTGTGTATGTCCATAAAAATAGAAAACAGAGAAAACACAAGAAAATTTTCCAAAATGAGTGGAAAACTCAGTAATATTACTCTAACCCGTGGAAACAGTTGTTCTTTCAAAATCATTTGAGCAAATATCATATACTTCATACATAGATAGTTGTTCAGAAATTATTTTAGTATCATTATCATTAAAAGTTGTGTCGGCAAGAGGATCATTCACTTTACATAAGATCATAGGTAAGTACAGGTTTTGGACATAACATAACTTTCATTCGTGTGGGATTGATTCCCCATTTCATTATCATACTTCCCTCCACCTGTAACTCACCCATTTATCATGTTCAGTTGATTTTCCAATGCCGACAAAAGTAACATCTATCGTATCATATTAAAACATTTCAGAACAACTTTATACCTCATATAAGTTCATAGCACATTGGCACATTTCATAATCATTCATTCGTAACACTTAAATAAAATAATCATAATCATTAAACATTTAACAGGGGTAGGACATTTCCTACTATTAGGGGGGCCAGTGCTCCTTACAGGGGAAGCCATTGCTTCATCATAATAGATCATGTTTGCATTTCTTATAAGTTAACAGAATAGCAAGAACAACAGTTATTCATAACATCTTGTAAAATGGTAAGACATTTTACAATCAATCATACATTTCAGTATATCGTAAATCATCAATTCGATATCCTTGTGAGTTCTCATAAGTCCTTTTATACATTTCATGTATTCATAACCTTTTGATGGACATGCTAGTCGCTGGACAGTATGACACGGCGGAACATCTTCCGCGATGGCCAGGTGCTCCATATAGTTAGGCCGGTGCCCCATGGGTACATGCGTGCATTGCATGACCGTTACTCGAGTTGCTTGGTTTACTCGAATTTCTCGGTCAGGGGTTACTTGAGTTACTCCTGACCGAGTAACCCCTCGAGTAATCCATGACCGAACCCTTCGAGTAATCCCTGACCTAGTAACCCCTGACCGAGTAAACCCCTCAAGTAACCCCTGACTGAACCCTTAAAACCGAACTCCTTAAATAACCCCTAACCAAATTACTTGAGTAATCCCTAAACCGAAATCCTTAAATAACCCCTAACTTAGTAACTCGGGTAACCCCTGACCGAGTAACTCAAGTAACCCATGACCGAGTAACCCCTCAAGCAACCCCTAACCGAGTAACCCTTGACCGAGTAACTCGAGTAATCCCTGACCGAGTAACCCCTCAAGTAATCCTTGATCGAGTGAACCCCTCGAGTAACCCCTCAAGTAACCCTTGACCGAGTAGCTTGAGTAACCCCTAACTAAATAACTCGAGTAACCCCTGCTACACGGTGTGGCCTGCTACACCAAAAAGTTGTTGCTTTCCTTTTGGTTGGCTTAGCTTACTAGCTAGATTATTGCCTTAACTCGATCTCTTGTATGTCGGATTAATTGAGGATTTTTTTAAAATGTCAAGAAGTTAAGCTTTAAATTGTTAATAACAAATTCGTCAAAAAAGTAGTATATTTTCATTTGATTAATAACTACGGAGTAGGATATAAATGAATTCGAAATTTAAGATTTAATTACGAGAGATCTCATCATTACCTAATTACCTTAATGTGCAAATCAAAAGGAAATCACAACATTTATACAATAAAAACAATTTGGTTTCCAAACTTTCGAAATATATTAACTTAAACAGATTGATTTGATTATAATACTTATATCGTATTATTTTTATATTATTTGAAATGAAAAAAAAAAGAGAATTCGAACCTATTTAACAAGCATTTTCCTTCGGAAAAAAAAAAGCATTTAATTTATATCAATCCCTCCATTTCTTAATACACAATGTATAGATTATC